AAATTCTGGATATTTTCTAATAGTTGCACTTGCTGATAAATCTCCTTTCCTGGGTGTATATTGATACATAGATTGACCGCTTCCAATCTGTTTGCCACTGTATCACTCTCCAGATTTGCTGGCATAGCTTAGTGAGAACCTTTACTGATTCTTCTTCGTTGCTTGCCATATTTCTGTGGCATCAATTCCTGTAGCCTTCTAACTTGGCAATGACCAGAGTGCTGATCTATCTTAGAATGGAATGGAATGGAATAGAGCTGGAAGGGACCCTGGAGGTTTCTAGTCCAGCCCCCTGCTCAAGCAGGAGAACCTACACCATCTCGGACAGGTGATTGTCTAGTCTTTTCTTTAAAATCTCCAGTGATGGAGTGCCCACAATTTCTGGAGGCAAGCTATTCCACTGGTTGATTGTCCTCACTGTCAGGAAGTTTCTCCTTAATTCCAGGTTGCTTCTCTCCTTGATCAGTTTCCAACCATTGTTTCTCATCCTTCCCTCTGGTGCTCTGGTGAACAACCTGACCCCTTCTGCCTTGTGGCAGCCCCTCAGATACTGAAATACTGCTATCATGTTTCCCCTATTTCTTCTTTTCTTTAGACTAGCCAAACCCAAGTCCTGCAGCCGTTCTTCCTATGTTTTAGCCTCCAGGCCTTTGATCATCTTAGTTGCTCTTCTCTGAACTTTTTCCAAACTCTCAACATCTTTTTTGTGATGTGGTGACCAAAATTGGCTGCAGTATTCCATGTGTGGTCTTACTAGGGCTTTGTGAAGTGATACTAGTACTTCACGTGTTAAGTAGGAAATATATTGTAAGGTATCTTGGATGTTGATATCTTTATTATCCAGAGATTCTGTATACTCCTTCCATTTTTTTATTTTTTAAAACCAGTTATCTGTTTATTGGTATCCTCTAGCTTACCTATTTAAAGCTGGAGCCTCCTTTTGAGTTTAGGGTGGTGGTGGAAGATTTTCTTTGTTTTTCCATGCCTTTTCTATCTTCAATACTTTACAGATGTTGCAATACTGTTTATTGTCTCTTCTAATAGCTGACTGAAATTCTTTGTTAAGCTGCTTCCTTAGATCTTTGTCTTACTTGAATAACAGAATAACAGAGTTGGAAGGAACTTTGGAGGTCTTCTAGTCCAACCCCCCCCCCCTTCAAGCAGGAGACTCTATATTGTTCTGTTCTGGTTGTCCAATCTCTGCTTAAAAGCCTCCAGTGATGAGCCACCCACAATTTCTAAGGCAAGCCACTCATTGTTTAATAATTCTCACTATTAGGAAATTTCTCCTTAGTTCTAAGTTGATTAGTTTCTATCCATTGTTTCTTGTCTTGCCTTCTGGTGCTTTGGAAAATAGGTTGACCCACCTCTTCTTCGTGGCAGCCCCTCAAATATTGGAACACTGCTACCATGTCACCCCTAGTCCTTCTTTTCACTAGACTAGACACTTCCCTAAGTGTAAACCTTGTTTTTTCTCTACAATTCATTCTCTACAATGAATTCCATTTTGTTAGATAGGGCCCACTTTGATTTTGGCTTGTCTTCTTTTCTTGGCAATTTCCTCACCATTTGTTTTGACATTGCTTTTTTATATTTCTTATTTTTTTGTAATCTATTTCTACATTCACAACTGAAAGAAGCTGTGCTTGACAGGGTAACATGGAGAGCACTTGCCTATAAAGTCACCAAGAGTCGAACATGACTGAATAGTTAAAAGTGCTAGTACTTTTCACATTCATTCTTGACATCTTCTTTAAATTCATCGCACAGTTCCTCTGCTTTGCTATCAAAGTGATTCCTTATGTTCTCATTGACAATGGTTGCTATACAATGATTCAAGATCCTATTGTAGAAACTGGATGGCTTTCTATTTTTAACTTAAGCTTAACTGGGAACTTGCACAATGAATGTTCTGTTCCAGCATCAGCCCCTGCCCATGTCTTGGATGCTATAATTGAGTTGCTTCACCTCCTTCTATTAATAATATAATCAATTTTATTTCTACATACTCCATCTAGTGATATCCATGTATATAGGCATTGTTTGTTGTTTGAAGATTGTGTTAGCAATAAAGGAGTGGATTGGCAGAAATTATCCTGATTCATTTCAATTTCCTAGGTCATGCGGTCCTAATATTTTCCCCTCCTTAATATTTCCAATTTTGACATTGCAGTCTCCTACCACAATCAACACATTTTGCTTGCATATTCTATCAATTTCAGACTGAATTTAATCACAAAACTCATTATTCTCCTCTTCTGCATTTGTGGTGAGAGAATAAGCTTGGATAATTGTCATGTGAAAGGACTGTCTGTGAACTTTAATTGCCATTATTTGATCACTGAATGTGTTGCAAGGAAATTGTGTTCTTGCTACACATTTCCTGACTATGAAAACAATGCCATTTCTTGTTTTCCATTCCTAAGTAGTAGACAGCATGACCTTCTGACTGAAAGAGTCCAATTCAATCCATCTCAATACAATAATGCCCAAGATGTTCATGTACAGTTGATGTCAGGCATGAAAAGCCAGGTCCACATGTGAAGGTTCAAATTAGCTGATTTATTGCTAAAAACCTATGCACCTATGTATCTTCTCAGCTAATGGTCAGCACCTGGTTTAAGTTAGATAAGGGTCAACAGCAATTAAAGGGGGTTACTAAGGATTCTAAACTAATCCCTTTTTTTTACTCCTTCCCTGGCTCTGTCAGTTTATTTTAGTTATTTATTTCGCATACGCTAATGTTACTTTAGCCAAAAGACTACAATGCTAATACAGAATAGTAGTTTGGCTGCCTAACATGCTAGTCCGTTCAATTCATGCTTCTACACTGTCCAAGGTGCACCACAGGGACAAGCTAGCTCTGCACCAGAAAACAAGGCAAACAACATCCTGCAGCAGCATCCAGGGCCTTTCCCCTCCACTGAAGTCATCTCGTAAATGGGCATCACACCTGGCACTGGCAGGGTTCTGACCATCTGCAAGAAGCGCTGGCTCATCTCCCAAGCAAAGCAGTACCTATTTATCTATTGCATATAACATGCTTATATAACTGCTAGATGGGCAGAAGCTGAGGCAAGTGACAGGAGCTCACCCCACCATGTGGTGCTATGATTCATTAAACTTCTGAGCCACCTTGTCTCTGCCAGTCTTTCTTTAACAGTGGATTCACTTCATTTTCCCTGTTATTTTACTATGTTCATGCTTCTTACATGTCATGTCCCCTTCGTAATTCCATCTTTGAAGCCTCAGATTTTCTTTTCCTGAATGGCAACAGCAGCAACTGGATGTCTCCAAATCTAGCCACATCATAAACACCATTAATATTCCAAATAATCTTTAGGTCTTTCTTAGTAGCATGTTGAATGTCATTCAAACTTTGGGGCCATCATCCAGTACCACATTGTCAATCATTTTTATACTTTTTATCCATGTGGTTTTGATGAAGTACAAGCGTGGCTTACCCTTGCCTTCTCCTGTGCAATATGAAATATCTTCACTATCATCACAAAACTGATCATCTGCTTCAGGCATTTCCTATATCGCTGCTGCCCAATAATAATTGTTGGGTGACCCTATATTTCCAACTTATCCCTTCCAACCCCACCACCACCACCACAATAGCATGTGGAAGTTTTATAGTACATCTAGGATTATACCATTGGTAAGTCTGGAATTAAGTTGCCCAGAAGTCCTTTTCAGTTATAAAATAATGCATTTCAATAGTAAAATTAATGGGTTTTTCCTTTGGTGAACAATTGACCTGCCTGTTGGAAACTTTATTGAAATTAACACATTCTTGGGGATCAAAATTTCCCTGATGCTTTGTTTTATCCCACTTCAGCCCTGAACTGCTTAACTCCAATAAAGACAATATTTCCTCCCATTTGTTGAAACGATCCTCACTCATCTTTGCATACTATGGCCATTCTCAGTCCCACCTGCTTCAAATCAAGATAGTCTTCTAGCTTAACTAAGAAGTAATAAGGTCTAACAGATTTTAAACACCTTGAGGTTGTCAAAATTAAGGAGGAAAATACTATTGAAACGCAGAAACCATAAAGATGACTTAAGCCATCTCACTTATGGGCTGAGGACAAACTAAAGGGAACACCAGAGGATTACTGGGGGGGGGGGGAGAGGGAGAGAGAGAGAGAGAGAGAGATGCCAGATCAGGATTGTGCTATGGTTAGGTACAAGTGAGGAAGATCCGTACATTTTTCCTCCATGGTGCCCTTTATAGGTTAAAGTTAAACTACAATTCTCTTACTTTTCAGATAATTTGATTAGATACACCTGATCTTTGCTCAGGTGGAGCAAAGTTGCTGGGATAGCCGAACGCAAGCTGTGCGCTTGACTCCCACGCAGGCCAAGTGGAGAAGCAAGGATATGGGGTTTTGAGAAGGGGAGGGGGAAGAAAACGTCGAGTAACGTCGGCGAATATTGGGACTATTCTTCGATTTAAACTCCCAGAGCTGCCACCTGACCTTGCCTCCTGACAGGGCCCGCCCTCGGAGCTAGGCGTGGGGAGCGCGTCTGCTGCCAGAGGGCAAGAGCTGCTGGACGACGCTGTTTCTTCCATCCCGGGAAGCCTTCGGCGGCTCTGGGCACGGAATTCTTCCGACGATGGCCCACAGCGACGAGGGGCAGAGGGTTGGCTCGGGGACCCACGGCGCGCCGCCCCGAGCTCTCGCCCTTCGCCCCTCCCTGTTGCTTTCTGCTGCTTCCCAAGAGTTCAGCGGCAGACCGGCTCGGAAGTAAGCCGAGGGGCTTACGCGCAAGTGCACGTGCGATCCAATTCGATGGGTCTGTGACGCGAATTGGATCGTGGCCGCCTCGCGACTTCCTTTCCCGCTCGGACTCTCCGGCAACTAAGCTGAGCAGAAGGGAGGGTAGAGCGGGCGCGTCAGGAAGGGAAAGGAAAGAAACCGAGGAAAGGCCAGCCGAGACCGAGTTGAGGTTGAGCCGAGATTCAGCCCCGCCGGGAAAGAATCGAGTCCTCCTCCTTCCCCTCCGAGCTCTGGTGTCGCCCACCCGGACGCGCGTGCTTTGAAGGAGAAAGCGACGTCCGCCAGGTGGGTGTCTGCCCCGAAGCAGCTGCCGCCGCCCAAGTTGCCCCGTTCCCCCACAAAGTTCGCCCAGCTGGGTTACTCCGGATCTGCCACCTCGTGGCAGGGGGGCGAACGTAAAAAGAGCCTTGCAAAGCGTCTCCTTCGCGACGGGGCGCGCTGGGCTAGTAACTCGCAGAGAAAAGTTACTGGTTGTAGTTTAACCTCACCCCAGCTCGGGCAGAATCGCCCGAGGACCCTCGGAAGCCAGGTTTGCTTTCTTTGCGGAGCCCGACGTCGCTTTCCTTATTTTGCTGCCAAGAGCTACTGCCTGGATCCTAGTTAATCATCTCTCCCCACCTGGAACCAAAGCTCTGGATTCTGTTTTCCTTGCAGGCGCTAAGACATTGGATCCAACTTGATCCTGCAGAAGGCAAACTGACCTGAACAGATCATGCGAAACAATCACTCTGAACTTCAGAATCAGGCCCTGCAGCCTTTACAGTGGCAGAGTGATCATAGAGAGGTCCGGGTGACGGTGCGGAGCTCAAGAATCCAGTCCACTGCCTTTGCTCCTCCACAAACATTGCTGAGGAAGACCTTGGTGGCCTTCGATATTGTGTGTTTACTTGTGGGTGAGTGAAGGATGGGGGCTCTGCAATTTCTACATAGTAGTTTATCAAGAGAAGTTTTGCCACAGAGGAATGAGAAATGTGAAGGAATTAAATAATCAACTTCTCTCTGCAATAGAGGTGATGGACCAGCTTATTTTGTACTCCTACTGCTACCTCCTTACCCATATAACTGGGTATTCTTGCATATATCATGTTTCTTGTCTGAACCAAGGGGAACTGGGAACCTCCAGCTTCCCGCACTCTGATATCATTCATTGAGTAAAACCATATCGTCTAGAATTCCCACCATCCTATGCAGGTTTAGAAATGATGAAGATTGCAGCCCAACATATCCAGTGGGTAATGGAGTGTTGAAGGATTCTTGCAATTGAATTAGTCTTTATCTAAAAATTTAGATAACAAAGTTGAATCATTTCTGTTTTCATCTCTGGTCATTTGTACATGCCTAATTTATAGGGCAGTCCATTTTATATTGGTTTTGGATAATTGAGGATCTGGTAATGCAGTACCAAACTTGTTATCATATGGAAGAATCAGAGTAACCAGTACTGGGTGTTCCAACTGGGCATGCCCAGCTGTTATGTCTACATCGGTCCGACAGAGTTGGAATATGCAGCTGAAACCGCTGCTCAGATATTCATTTAATTCTCCACAGAGGATTTTAATTTAGTCCTTAGCAGCTGCTGTGGAAATTATGTCACCATGAATCATAGTGGTCCATGACTGAGATGGAGCAAACAGCTGTTGGGCAAAGTTAAGTCTTCTGAAATACTTTCTGATAGGGTGTTAAGTGTATGACACTCAGTTACCAGGTTCACTTCCACTTTCTTGCTCTGCAAGTGCTCTGCTATAGAGGTTGCTGTTGGGAAAGCAGCAACAGTGAGTGGGTGTCACGTGGCAGTATCAGGAGAGATTGTAATGGATGCCACGTTGCCCACTCTCCCCTCCAATGAGATAAATATCCAACAAGTAGTTGCTTTCTCACTAACACAGAAAGAGCCTACAGAATGGCTCCCTGAAGGTTGAGAAGATCTGTCAGGAAAGCCAGCTGTATAGCCATTGGTAAATATGGCACTTTTAGGAGTACTAAGGACCCTCGGGCACAGGTGCCTTTGCCTTTATTCAAGGGGAGGTGGCCGTTTGGAAGTCAGAACATTTCTGCACATTTGTGCTTCCTGGTTAATGATCTTCTTATTGGTTAATAATTGTAGGGAGACGAGAACAAATTCTTGAGAAGAATGGGCAATCACAGCAAGCAGAACTTTAATTCTTCGCTATACCCACTGATTCGCTTCTCCCCTAGGCTTTCCCCCCCACCTTCTGCTGGACTCTTCTCATACTTAAGCTTAGCTGTCAGGGTGAAAAAAATACCTAGGAAAGAAGTTTGAAACCCTTTTCCACAGGTCACTCTCTGCAACTATCCTCAAACTCACACCGATATTAATAACAAATGAGGGTTGGGCCCCTTTTGGTAACATCTGATTCTGCCCTGTAGAAATAAATCTTGTTTATAATATATGACGGGATCCTTGGAGAGGTTTGGGTCAAGACAATGGGCTGTTTGCACCAAGTCTTTGCCTTCTCTGAATCCCATTAGAATTAAGCCTAGGATCTGGGTTGGATGAAACGTTTTGGAGCCATTATTGCAGGAGACAGGGTCCTAAAAAGGGGGAATTGGACGTTGTTTCTTTTTTCTTGAAGATGTTTCGCTTCTCATCCAAGAAGCGTCTTCAGTTCTGAAGACGCTTCTTGGATAAAAAGCTAAATGTCTTCAAGAAAAAAAAAACTCCAGCTGGCTTTTGAAAAAGCACCTTTGGGGCAGTCAGGATCAGGATGACTGAGAATCTTCATAGACTTTTAAAAAGGGAGTTGCGGGAGACCAAATGACTCCAGTGAACTCAGTTCAGTCATATTTCTGCCTTCTGACATTTCCTGAGGCTCTTCCCATGCATATGCAAAGCTTATTATTGTCTCCAACCCTAGGGGCTGCTTTTTAAAGTGTATGTGGCATTTTCCAGGAAGTTAAATGCTATACCCTTGTACCAGGTTTTGTGCTCACAAAACAGCCTCAATTTTATGCTAGATGATCCAGAATAATAAGGGAACTTTTAGACAGAACTGATGAGGGGAAAGCTCAGTTTAAATCCAGTCCCTCAGAAAATTTTGGCTTCTTCCCTTTTCAGTCACCTTCTGGCAGGGTTTCAGCAGTGAGAAGGACAAGAGTGTGCTCAGTACACAGAGGAGTGTTTGGTGCTTGGAGACAGATGTAAGGCCGTCGGAAAGAGCATTCATCAGAATGGCACAAGGCCTAGCTGGGGAGGAAGGGACCTTGGAGGTCTTCTAGTCCAATCCTCTGCCTAAGGCAGGAGACCTTATTTAACTTCTTATGTCCTCATTCCAGGGGGGTAATTCCATTTTTGCATTTCAATAAGCCACTTGTTTTCTTTCCTTCCGAGCTATGTTGTACATTTTTGAAGGCTAAAGTGCTGTGTTTTAAAACACAAAAGCTGAGGCCAGCCACAGTCCTGATGAGGATGATAGCTCTGAGCAGTCTTTTGTGTGTGTGTGTGTGCCCTGCTGTTAGTATAGTTTTTTGGGGGGGAAATCCTAAAGGACTTAAAAGGTGACCTGGTTGGTCTCCAAAGAAGCCGTATTTTATTTTTATTTAATTTTTTTAAGTAAAAAGTTCTGATATGAAAACATAGCCCAGACTGGATGGTCTGTTGTGTTCCAAGTTGACATGGAGCCTTGGAAAGCAAAGGGGAAAGACAAGAAAGGCAGACTGGAGCAAAGGGAAAGAATTATTTTCACTGTTTGCTGCCACTATAGAGATATCAGTTTTCACTGGCTTGAAGGAAGCCTGTCTTGGGGGACTTTAACCTCTTCAAGGCAGTCTGTTTTTAATAATAATAATAATAATCACAAGCAAGTATAGAATATTGTCCAGATAAGGACAACTCCAGTGTTCCCCAACCAGCACGCCTACCCATCCTAACCATACTTTAAGGGAAAGAATGTTAGAAGCCATCAGGGAGGCGGCAGGTTTTGAAGATGCTTTGAAGTATTCAAAGACCTTCAGATCTTTTATCTTGTAATTCTTAGAACAATCTTGTTATCCCCATCTTGCAGATAAGGCTAAGAGAAGAAATCACCTGAGGTCACCTAATGAGTTCCTGGCAGATATGAATTTTTAGTGGCTAGTTGTAGATTTGGGAGATCAAAGGTATCACTTCAGTTCACAACTGCTGGCAGAACAAGCTATAAAGTATGTGACCACGTTTGAAATGTGACTCTATCTTTACATGTGAAGCAGAAAAAAAAATGGATGCTAGGAAAATACCCGTTTTCTTCTCCCACAGAATTAGCTGTAAACAAGACCAGGGGTCTGAATGAGAGAACTGCATATTACATAGCCTTATTTTTCAATATAGTTTAATAATTAGGAATTCCATCTGGGAATTCTGGAAGTATTCTAACAATATTGGATTGCAGTCTAATTAGATTCATTAGGAAAATACCCTTTTAATAGATACACAACAAATCTCAGGCAAGCAGCTTAGAAGAGAATGTCTGCAGAAATGAAATAAAATAAGATTAACTGATTCTAGGTATATTTAATCACAGCTTGAGGGGTGGGGAAATCTGATTTGTCCCTAGGCAGAGTAGCTATTGTCTTTGGAACAACTTTGAATTAGACTTTGCAGGCGAACTTCCTAGAACACTATACTTGTTCATAAGTTATAGGAGATGGGATCTAGACTTTCCATCTCAGACACCAAAATATCTTTTATCGCTGTAGAAAATAGGCTTAAGTGTCAATGCTTCCTTAAGAATCCCTTGTCCCCAGTATAAAGCCCGCTTTTGGGACCAAAGGTATTTCACCATGCTGGTTCTCCTTGTGTAGGAATCAGGAGTGGAACTTTCATAAGCATCACAGAGATAGAAGATGATACACTGACTACGTGTCAAATGGAAATAGGCACACTGGTTTTAGATTTCATTCAGAAATAGTTCTCCTGTGTGGTACAGTATACTGTCAAACTATTACCAGTAGCATGTGCAAACATTTATTTTAAAAAATTGGAAATTGTTCAGCAATGGCCGCTTTAGAAAACTCAGAAGACAACTGCTGCCCTCCAGTATCTGAAATGTCAAGGAACACTTTGAATGAGCAGGATTCGTTTTTAGCTATTGCTGCTAACCTCTGTGATGGATGGTTGTTCTATCTGCGTGTCCATTATCAAATAATAAAACAAGAATTCTGCATAATAATAATGTGCACCATATGATATAATATTTGTAGAAGCTAGTCCTGAATCTTTTTCATACATTTCATTGGTTTTTGAATTTTAATACTTTGAAAAGGATATTATAAATTTTCCATCCAGTTTCTTCATAATTTTATAAATGTCTATTATTCCCAGGCAAGTGTATCCATAGTCAGAGGCAGATAAGTTAATGCCTTTGGGACAGATCTGGGTGAAAGGCAGAATTAAGCTTTGTCTGGAAAGCAGGTCAGTTTGGAAGTTTGGAATACTTGGAAATTGGGGATCTTTTCATCCATCGTGTTGTATCAATAGTCATCTTATGACTCTAGACAATTTTAGGCCTGCATTAGATAGATGCTAGAAGACAGGTTGTTGGGAAACTTGACCAGACCCTAAGAAGGAGATTTGCACCAAGGTTGTCTGGATGGATTGATATGGATGGTTAGTAAAATGCTGACTTCTTCATCTGCAGAGTTTGACAGAGATCTGGAAGGAGCTAGAGTTCAAGTTGCAGGCAATTTGGCAGACTGGCAGTGATACCGTAACAAGATTTGTTCAGTGGTGGTGGGTGGGCTCCTAGGCAGGAAGAGGCATTCAGAACGTTTCTCAGGTAAGAATTGGATTGTCCCTCATGTGCTGACCCAGAAGTACTTGCAGCTAGCAAAGCTCAGGTTGACTTGGGACAAGGGGAGTTTAAGTTGTAGGTAGGCAAAACCTGTTCCCAGAGAAGAA